ACATTACCTACAAAGATAACACTTACATTGAAAATATGATAGTATCAGTAAATTAATAAGTAAATGAATGCGGACGATAGGATGGGTTAGAGTAGGTATTGGTTAGAGAGTGCTCGAACTGCTCTGAGTTTCCGTCGCGCCACGCAGCCATCTTGCCTGCTCATTTCGAGGGGGTCTTTGCCTGCAAAAAGTAAACATCTGAAGTTTACATTTGGTCGGGTAAGTTGCCACATTTTGCCCAAGTAATTCGATTAAATTATTGGTATCTGCACGTCTGCACCTATGCGGTTAACCTGTTCAACATAGGCAACGCTGAGCTGATTGAGAGTCAGCTGTTCTTTCTCCGCTCAACATTTTGCGTCATTGTCAAGTTAGCAGAATAATTGTGCAAGCTCTGCCGATAAGGGGGGGGGGGTGAGAGGTTCCGACCGCTGGTCTCATTTTAGCCGCTCATCCCTTCACATGAAAAATTTCATGGAAAATAAAATCTTGAAATTTCACGTGAAATATTTCATGAAAATCCAGAAATTTATGAAAGATATTGAAAAATGCTGGTTCCTTTCCATGTTTAGTAAAATGTAGAAATTGTAAATTTCTTCTATTTTTGTTTGTTTGAGGGCAGGTTGCATACTCCAGCCCCTGAAAAATATGAAATATTTCACAGCCTCGTGAAATTTCATGAAATATATCCCTGAAATTTCCAATTTTTCATTTCTTTCTTCCGTCTCATGCTACCCTGGGCCGGGCCACTACTCCATAGAAAGGGGAAAAAACAAAACAAATTTTTGGAGGGCACTATCTGCCAATGATCTATTACGCTGATAACTTCTAACTGATATCGGTAAGGCGGTCAGTCGGTCACCCTAATTTTACAGTGACCGGTCGGTCAGTGGATCAATGAAGTTGCCGCAGAGAAAATAGTTTCTTTACTTTTCTTGTAGCGCTTTGTTATGAGCACCGGAAAGTTAGGTGAGTGATATTCTGAAAACCCGGGAAAAATTATTCACACCTTTCATCCTTTCATGAGGAGTTATGTGATGGAGGGATGTCCAAATACAGCAGTTACATAGAAAGAGGCACATTAGCGCCAGACGGACTTGGAGCCTGGGAGATTCGTTTAGCCCCGTTGCGGGCTGGGGCTGCCCAGGAAAAACCCTCATGACGAGCCAACGCATTCTTTCGGGTAGGTATTATGTGATGCATCGATTTTCGGATTGATGTCATAAAGACTCCAAAATTTCTCGCGTTTCTCTCATAATGTAATTGAGGAGTGATTCCAATAAATTTAAAAACAAATTTAAAAAAAAAAGAAAAAAAAAAAAAACACCCTTGCACTTCGTTTTTGAATTGCATTGAAATTCTGGCACTATATTCAAATAAACTTTCGCATCAATTTACTTGAATAAATTAGAGCAATACGGGAACCACTATTACAGGTTGATCTAACAGAAAGAACAACTGAGCTATTGGTTTCCCTGGGCAGATAGGTGTTTTTTATGATGAGCCGCTGCCGTTACCTAGTATAACTGCAAACTGCATTGTAGACTCAAATCCATATTCAACGAGTGAAATCGGCATCAATGCATTTAATCAGCTGAGAGAGGCGCGAAAGTCCCACGCAGCGGCGTTGCCTCACCGACAAATTCCTTAAGAATAATAGAAAGCAGACTGCGTAATAGCGGGCAACCAGATATTTTTTTGATATATTTTACTCACCATCTGGCAATCAAAATTCCACTCGTGTACCATAACATAACCTATGACGCGTGTGGTGGTCTGCAGTTTGTTTACAATCAACAATGAAGCTTTGCACATCGAAAAATTGAGATATGTTAATGATATGTGAGTGAAAACAGTGATAACAGTGAAAACATGCGAAAATCTACGTTGGAAGTTGTTATGCAGCGGCATTTTTTATTTTCCTCTAACTTAGTTTATCAGTGATTATTGGATGAAAACCTGTGGAAATCTACTTTGGAATTAGACTTTAATCTGTGTCCTTTTGGAATGTGTGAAGAGACGGAGGAGGAATCATTTTCGGACTAACAACAAGTGTGCACTGTGAGTAATAGAAATTTTCTCCCCGAGGCATGACAATTTCAAAATAAGTAGGGAGGATTTTGCTCCAGGAGAATTAAGGATAGCTCACTTTGCTGTTTCTAGGTACCTACTACCTATCTCCTTTCTCATGGAGGGATTGTGTGCACTTATGAATTTTAATTGAGTACCTATGCATCTACGGTCTCTTGAGTTATCAGGGCAATGATGGCCATGTCGAGCTGATGGTTGTCTCAGTGTGTGTGAGAATAATTACCTACTGCAAATAGTCTCTGCATGTGAGGATAAATTTCATGGCAAAACTAGATTTAACTGCATACCTACCAATGTGGCAATTTCGTGAAATTTCTCTCAGCATAGACCTGCTTGTAGAAAGTAAGTGGCTGCGTCTTTTCAGTCTGGGGGATGAAAATTTTCAGCTGTTTTTCCTCACATTCACTTGAATGAATATGCAATTGATATGTGTGTTAAAATATGGAAAAAATAGGAAACTTTTCATTTATCTAAAGGATCACTTGTTCACTCTGATATGTTGATTCCAGACACTGAACTGCAGAAGTTGAAGGATTTGTTAGGACCATCCGAAGCTCTAGCGATGATCAGGCCAAATATGCGACCCTGTCCTGCTGTTCCCTGCCAAGGTTGCATGAAAAAAATAGGAGTCAACATGAAAAGAAAGGAACAGAGTAAGTCTTGTAAGGTGATTAACATTTTTAATTTTGTTTACATACCTCTTGGTTTCCAGTTGTAATTTATGTTTTAATTTTATCCACTGAATTTAAGTAAGAATATAAATGAAAAAATGTAAACAAATGAAAAAGTATGTGGTCACTAACTGGTTGTCCTCTGAATTTTCATGGATAGTACTTTGAAAAGTTCTGCATCATAAGACCATTATCAAGAAGCAGTAAGGAAAATGCGTTTACTTACTGACTTAACTGCAAGGGCTGACATGCTAATTTTGGGCTTTTAAAATGCCCACTTACCTTCACTATAAAGTTGATGCAAATAGTACAGTTCTAGAGTAATTAGACATTGTAAATTTGAAGAAAATTCCTCCCTCCAATGAGTATTTTCCTGCTTGAAGGANCCTTCTTTGCACATGGTCTTCCAAAATATTCCACACTATGAGGCATTCTTCGCTCCGTGCAAGAATAGACAAATTCCAAGAATTCAAGGATCAGGTAGTGATTTTTAGAAAAATTGCATCATCACTGGCCTAAAAAATTAAAAAAATAATCATCATTCACCAAGGTCATAATGAAAAGAATCGGTCAGTTTAACTTGAAATATTCACTTATAACTATCAAAATTCAGAAATTTTTACAATTCATTTTGAGTGTGACCTTGGTGAATGATGATTATTTTTTTAATTTTTTAGGCCAGTGATGATGCAATTTTTCTAAAAATCACTACCTGATCCTTGAATTCTTGGAATTTGTCTATTCTTGCACGGAGCGAAGAATGCCTCATAGTGTGGAATATTTTGGAAGACCATGTGCAAAGAAGGTA